CTCACATTCCTTCAAAGCTTCGTCAAACAAGCGACGTTGCCACGTGCATTCACACAACTCATAAGACACTACATCAGTGCATCTGCGCTCATATATATGCACGTAATCCTCCTGGCGCGGTTAGCCTGCTGCACTGGAAAGGGAAGGTCGGGACGAGTATCTCGAAATTCATACATGTCTAGTGGCAAGTCAAGTATAGAAATGTCAAGAGGCGGCTTGGGATACTTCGTTCTATATTCGTATGTGATTTAAAGGAATAATGGATGAAATATCAATATTTTCATTAAAAAATTAAGAAATAAACTATAACATGATAAATGTAATTAAATTATTCGAAAATTGGATATGTTTCCTTTTTTACAACTTTATTATAGCAAAAGATATGAGGCGATAAAAGTGAAACTCTAAGTTAGTAAAACTACATTTAGTTTAACTAAAAACGAGTCGAGAATGGGGCGGATGAGGTCGATGAGAATACTCATGCTCACTCCGTCCCACCTATGAATCGGATATGACCCGTCCAAAACATGTAACTCGGATCAGTTGAAACGGATCAGATAGAAATTTCATTACTCGTGTCGTAGAAAGTAAATTTCCCAATGTTACCAATGTTTTGCAGGGACAAGTATGGGTGCATGTCATAACATTGTTATGCATAATCCTACACTTACAAAGAAGATAAAATCGATTAAAAAGTAGGGAAAATAATAAGATTTTTAATCTCACCCTTTTATATCTGAGCTCAAATCATGAGTCCATATCTGGTTACGGACTTACGGTAGTGTACGTACACCCTATCTTGGACTAACAAGTATGGTACATTTGTTCCATACTAGTTTAATCAGATAAATAACCCAAGATTAGAGAGTTAATTCAACTTAAATTAATCTTTGATTGGAGACTAATAGTTTGATTACGATTCTAGATGTTGTATTCTAAATTTAATTGTATGTAATACAACATTTGTTTATGTTGGGGGTATTGCCCAGCAGCTAGGAGTTTGGGCTCCCAAAGAAAGAGAGTTGGGGGGCAAGGCCCAAAAAGAAGGAATCCACTAGAGGCCCTTGGGCCCAGACAAGAGGAAGGACCCAAAGAATAAAACACCAAAAGCCAAGTGGCGGCCAGCTGTCCGGTGGACCACTGCCTGCGGGCGCCTGTCATGTGTCAGGAGCCTGGCACAGCAGTTGGATGCCTGTCACGTGTCAGGAGCCTGACAAGGCAGTTAGTTGCCTCACAGAGGGGACACAGAGCATTAAATGAAGATGGTGACGTGGAGGAGATCAGCCTCGGGTTCAGTGAGTATAAATAGGGGCAGTTGATAGCATTTATGCAGGTTGGACTCTCTCTCACTAAAATACTTCTGGAGAACTTTACTCTCCCACAGAAACTAACTTGGGCGTCGGAGGATTAACGGGCAGAGGCGCCCTCCTCTTTGTGTGTGTAGGTCGACGCCAGGCGAAGGGAGACGTTCGAATAGTGAAGAGGGTGTTGTGGCACAAACAGTTTACTTTATTCAAGCATATAATGCATGTATTTTTAATACATAGAACAATTATGTATAATGAATCCCACATTAATAATAATAATGAATCCCATGTTTTTTGAGAATTAATATCCATAGTTCATTTAATGTATAATTTATAATAGAATTGATGAACGCGGAATATAGAATGACACAAACACACGATATTTACGTGGTTTCCTCGTTCGATTTGAACGAGACTACTCCACGGTGAGCTCAACCGAGCTCACGGACTACTGATTTATTATGATGAACTGACTGACTTGCTTAGCTTTACACATTCACCCGCTAAGCATATATATAGGGCCAAGACAGTAACCCTTATACAAAGACTGAAAAGAATATAGAACAATAAAGGAATAACAACATTCCTTCTTTGACAAGAACTGGAACTTCGCGGGTGTGGACGTCACCACGCGGAAACTTGGACAACACGTAATACTCCCCCTCAAGCGAAGGTATGGATGTCAAGCATACCGAGCTTGGAAAGGAGATGTTGAAACTGATCCACGCCCAAGCCTTTGGTGAAGATATCGGCAGGTTGCTCTTGGGTAGCTATTTTGGACGGAGTGACCTCAGCTGACAGAACACGCTCACATACAAAATAACAATCCATCTCTACATGCTTGGTGCGCTCATGGAAGACCGGGTTTGCAGAAATGTGCAAAGAAGCTTGACTATCACAATACAATGGAGTAGCAGAAGCTAGAGGATGACCCAGCTCAGTAAGTAACCATCGGAGCCAAACGAGCTCACTGACTGTGGTGGCCATGGCACGATACTCAGCCTCCGCTGAGGAGCGAGCAACAACTGTCTGCTTCTTTGTATGCCAAGAAATGGGGGCGCCACCAAGGCGTATGAAATACCCCGTAGTAGACCGACGAGTGAGGGGACAACCTCCCCAATCGGCATCACAGAAGGCCGTGAGAACAAGTGGTGTCTCTACCGGGAAAAACAGACCTCGACCAGGAGATTGCTTAAGATAACGTAGAACACGTGCTGCAGCATCGACATGAGCTTGTGTGGGGGCATGAACAGCCTGACTTAATATGTTGACAGCATACTGAATGTCGGGAAGCGTGACTGTGAGGTAGAGAAGGCGTCCAACAAGACGACGATAACTGGAGGGATCAGCTGCAGGAGCAGAAGGTTGACGACCTAACTGATGGTTCTGTTCAATGGGAGTGGAGCAGGGCCTCGTCCCAATGAAACCACTGTCAGAGAGGATGTCGAGCACATACTTTCGCTGGTTGAGGACCACACCTTTCTGCGAACGAGCGACCTCGATGCCAAGGAAGTACTTCAGAGTACCTAAGTCCTTGATTGTGAACTGAGAGTGAAGGGAATCCTTGACCTGCTGGATGAACTGTGAATCATTACCTGCGAGAATGACATCGTCGACATAGATCAAGGCAGCTACGAAACTGGAGCCAGAACGACGAATAAAAAGGGAGTGGTCGGCACGACTTTGGACAAAACCAAGCTCAAGTAGTGCCCGAGAGAACTTCTGGTACCAGTTGCGGGAAGCTTGCTTCAACCCATAGATCGACTTATGTAGACGACAAACGCGAGTGTCACCGGGAGCAGCAAAACCATGAGGCACTCGCATATAAACCTCTTCATCCAAGTCGCCATGCAAAAATGCATTATTGACGTCCAATTGGTGAAGAAACCAACCCTGACTGACGGCCAAGGCAATCAAGCAGCGGACTGTGACAAGCTTTGCAACGGGGGCATACGTATCATGATAGTCTATGCCTTCGATCTGCGTAAAACCTTTAGCAACCAATCGAGCTTTATATCGTTCGATCGAGCCATCGGGCTTATATTTTATCTTGTATACCCACTTGCAATCGATGACATGCTTGCCAGGAGGTAAAAACACGAGGGACCAAGTCCCATTCTCTTCGAGAGCGAGTACCTCTCGTTGCATGGCGTCGCGCCAGTGCTGAAACTTGACTGCTTGATGAAATGACCTCGGCTCAAAACCATCTGAAACTGATGCAATGAACGCCTTGTGCTCCGGTGAGAGGCGATCATAAGTGACATAGTTGCTGATTGGATAGAGTGCATGATTTGATTCTGCACGATGACCTGGAAGTTCAACTTCATAATCGTTGAGATGAACTGGGCGAGTGACATGCCGATTGCTGCGTCGTGGAGGAGCTGGCGGGAGTGTCACCACTATTTCAGCTGGTTGCACAGGTAAAACATGATCACCCTCCAAGGAAGATGGGGTGGTGCTTGATAGCGGAACGGGTGTGGACGAGGTGGACGCTCCCCCTGGCGACGAGCTTGAGGGACTTTCTTCAGCGGCCTCGACGTGTGACGTGGTCGAGGGACTAGGAACTTCGGCCTCGACCAAAGATGAGGACTGATTTGCTTTGGTGGGCAATGAGTCAGCATCCAGGGAGCTGGCTATATCATCAACTAACTTGAGGAGATCATCATCGGACTGAGATGGATCATCCACGTCGACGGGGAGGGAAGGTGACGGAACATTGGACTGTGCAGGCGATGACCGAACCTGCTTGAAAGGGAAAATCTCCTCTAGGAAAAACACATCTCGTGAGGTGTAGATGACTTGTTGACCGATGTCATAGACTCGATACCCTCGCTGATTCGCAGGATACCCGACAAAAATACCAGCCTTTCCTCTTGCATCGAACTTAGTAAGACCAGCACGTGTATCTTTAGCATACACAAGACAACCAAAACTGCGTAGATGAGTATAGTCGGGAACTTGACCAAGCAGAATTTCATACGGAGTACAATTTTGTATGGGAACCAGAGGCATTCGGTTAATCAAATAGGCTGCAGTAAGCACACACTCCCCCCAAAAGTGAATAGGGAGACCAGAATGGAAACGTAGAGCTCGTGCAATATCCAATAGATGACGGTGCTTGCGCTCCACAACGCCGTTCTGTTGTGGCGTATTGGTACAACTCGTTTGGACCACAATTCCTTCGGCTTCATAGTAGTTGCGCAGCTCTGTGACTGTGAACTCGCGACCATTGTCGCATTGGATACGCTTGACTTTTCCATCATACTGCGTCCGTACTTGATTAAGAAATAACAGCAAGTGACGTGCAACTTCGGACTTCTGCTTTAACAAAAACACCCAGACTGCGCGACTAAAATCATCGACAATAGTTAAGAAATAATGTGCTCCACTGAATGAAGCCTGTTGATAACCGCCCCAAATATCAATGTGTATGAGTTCAAAACACGACTTAGTCTTTATCGAACTAACAGAAAATGGCAAACGAGTTTGCTTCGCCCGTAAACATGACAAACACGGGTCTTTATTGACTACCAAAGGACTGGAAAAATGACGCTGCAATGCTGAAAGCTTTGCCGACGAGGGATGACCGAGCCTAGCATGCCACAACTGAGAGTCTCGAACTGCTTGCTTCGCCGCGAACGCCACTGGATGACCATCATCAAAAACCCGCTAGTAGTAGAGACCATCAACGTGCTTACCCATCCCAATCATTCTCCTGGAGTGTAAGTCCTGGAGCACACAAAAATTCCTCATAAAAATCACAGCAACAGAGTGATCGGCCGTGAGACGACTGACGGATAAGAGATTGCACTGAAAATCAGGCACATATAAGACACGATTCAACGTTAGACCATTCGACAGCCTCGACACCCCAATTCCGCGAACTGGTATCCCTGTACCATTTGGGATTTTAACCTGCAAAGTGGAGATTGTCTCCAACTCACCATGCAACAACGACGAACTCTTAGCAATATGTTCGTTACAACCAGAGTCAATAACCCACACTTCAGAGGAATCGGTGAGAATATTACCTGACATGTTCGCTTTTGGTTGTGCAGGTGCGGACTTTACTTCAGTTGGTTTGGGATCGGAATTGAGAAAGGCCTTGAGTTGAGCTACTTGATCTGCCGACAAACCAGGGATCATGACTTCAGCTCCCTCAACCACGGCTGCCTGTGGAGTCCCACGCCCTTGACGTGCACTTGAACGACGAGGTTTTTCATTTTTCTCCCCAGAGCGTGCAGGCCAGCCGATAATATCGTAACAAGTAGCACGAAAATGCCCCGTCTTTCCACAATGGGTGCACAGGGGACGACCGTCAGGGGTCCTTTCGTCTTGACGAGATTTCTCCCCCTGGCCATGAAAGGCAGCAGCTTCTCCGCGAGGATGGTGATCATGAGTGATACTCCTTTGTTGTTCTTCGTTTGCCACCGCATGATAGGCCTCGCCCAAACTTGGTGCTGGCTTCAGAGAAAGGAGATGAGTACGTACAGCCGAGAAATCATCATCAAGTCCAACTAAAAAATCAAGAAGGCGCATGGCCTCATGTGAGTCTCGAGTGCGTTGTTCCACATTGCAAGAGCATTGACCACAGGTGCACTTGGATGGTGGATCCAGAGTAAGCCAATCATCCCAAAGACGCTTCAGTTTGGAATAGAAGGTTGAGACACTCGAGCGATCCTGACGTAGACTAGTGAGTTGGCGACGAATCTTGTAGCGGCGAGGAAGACTCCCCGTGCTGAAACGCTCGCTCAATTCGTCCCAAATTTGTTGGGCAGTGAAGCCCGAACTGAGACTGGTGCGGATTTCCTTTGACATGGCGCTGCGTAGCCAGCCGACAACCATGGCGTTGCAGCGCACCCAGGCATTGAGACGTTCTCCATCAACCGGACGCGGAACGGTGCCGAGAACATAACCGAACTTGTCCTTGGCAATAAGTGCATTAGACATCTCAGCTGACCATTCACCATAATTCATATCGGTCAGCAATTCTCCAACAAACACTTGACTTGGAGCATCCGAAGCGTGGAGAAACAACGGCGAGGTCGGTCCAATGAGATCATCCTTGGAGAGAGACCACGTCGCCTCGGGTGCTTCAGTTTTCGGATCAATATCCTTATCACTCATCGCGACAACAGTGGGCAATGAGGAACGACAGAGACGAGCTGATCAGAGACGTGACAGCTGCTGACGACGAGAGACGGAAAACACGAGCAGATCAGAGGCGCAGAACCCAGGCGGCGATCCTGATCGGCTCTGATACCATAATAGAATTGATGAACGCGGAATGTAGAATGACACAAACACACGATATTTACGTGGTTTCCTCGTTCGATTTGAACGAGACTACTCCACGGTGAGCTCAACCGAGCTCACGGACTACTGATTTATTATGATGAACTGACTGACTTGCTTAGCTTTACACATTCACCCGCTAAGCATATATATAGGGCCAAGACAGTAACCCTTATACAAAGACTGAAAAGAATATAGAACAATAAAGGAATAACAACATTCCTTCTTTGACAAGAACTGGAACTTCGCGGGTGTGGACGTCACCACGCGGAAACTTGGACAGCACGTAATATGCGGCTGCAGCGGCTCTAACAAGAGACGAGAATAGCGATTCAGGAGAGAAATTCACACCATTTCTCATCCTCCCCGTCAATTTAAACAAGTGCCCATCTTTCAAATGCAAATTCTAGTACCCATCGAGCGTCAAACTTCCCACTTCATATGCCCCTTCCAATCGCAAAGCCTCCCTCGTCTGCCATAGAAAGAACATCGGATTGTGTGTACTCACGGATTCGAGCAAGGAACAGTGGCGCCGATTCCCAACTCGTTCACAATTTTGCTCGCAGGTCCGCAGATCGTCGGCAACATTGTGGTGGGTTTTCTTGGATTTGATTCTAGGGTTCAAGATGGGATTTGTTCATTTTCTTGAATTTGATTTACTCTTGGTGGGTTTTGGTGGGTTATCTTCCATTGATTTCTTCGATTTGATTTTTTCCACACTGGGTTTTCTAACCGACTGTCAGAACTTATGAGGGGAATAGAAGAAGAAAACGATGAGGGGCGGCAGCAGAAGACGTGGTAGGGAATAGGGAAAAAATTAGGAAAAATATTTTTGGTGTTTTTTTAATTTAAAATAATTATTTTATAACTAAAAAATGACGTGGCAATGATATAATGGCTGGTCGCTGATGTGTGCGATGATTTGGCATCCTAGTTAGCCCAACATTAATCTAACTGGCGGAGTTTCTAACACATTAAAGTTTCTAACGGTAATGTCAAGATTTGTCACACTACCATCCAATTTTTGGACTATTTTGTGTTTTTTTTATAGTTGTGGCTATATTTGTTATGTTTAAGCCACGTAACCCTACGCTACGGGTAGCCCACGCGCACCACCCACTTCCAACACGCTCATGTTCCACGCTCTCCTCCTGCACACGAAAGCGCCCACCGAGCCCCTTGCTGAGGGCTTGTTAGCACTCCGACGCTCAAGTCAGAATGATCTTTCCTAGAGAGAGAAGTGAGATGTAGGTTTTAGAGAGAAGTTCTAACCTGAGTAAATGAGCTCCACCCACTTCACTATTTATACCCAGGGTAGGGTCGACCACTTCTCCCCAAATCCGCCCCACGTCATCATCTCATTAAATGCATTGTACCTTACCCCTTCTATGCGCCCCGACATTCTGACACGGGCTTTTGTCATGGAGGCGCATGGCCCCACCTCGTGTTCCCTCCGTACGCTTTCGGCCGTTGCCACTTTTGTCGCCATGCGCTTTACCTCAGACCCGGTCCCACTGCCTAGGTTACAGCCTCCAGCCCCTTGCCAGGCCCACACTTCCAGCCCATTTTGACCTCTTGGGCTCCTCACTTGAGCCATTCATTGTATGCCCCCAACATGTTACAAACGTGAAAGTTGTGACTATAGAAGTGTATTTTGCCTAAAATTAATAATATTTTGTCACCCTTATAACAAAAAATGTACATATGATATATGACAATTGACAATCTTATACAACCTGAGAGAAGTGAGAGAAAGGCGCGGGAAAAGGGAAAACTAACCACATGCCTAAGTATACTCTAACGAACTTATCCAATTACATATTGATACCTACACTATACTAATTACATCAATACAATCCAATATACTTTTACAAATTGATCCTATTTCCTAATACCAAAGCAAATTGATATCACGGAATTTTCCTTCGCAATGCTTTATCATCCACAGTAGGGATGGCAATGGGTCGGGGTTAGGGCGGGTTTGCTTAAACCATCCCCATACCCATCTTCAAATACCCAAATCCATACCCGCCCCATACCAATGCGGGGGAATGTTTTGCAAATCCATCCCCATACCCGTGGGTTTCGGGTACCCATGGGTAATACCCATACTCGTACATCCAATATTATTATACCTAAAACTTACAAGAAAAGTTCTAATTATAAATCTAAACGAACATATTATATAATGAACTCAACAAAACACAGTCATTTTTTTAATATGGTTCAAAGATTATGATCCTAAAATATCCATTAATACATAATATAGAGTATAATATTTTTCAAATTATTATGTTCTAACTCTGATATATCTACTAAATAATAACTAACAAACATAATCTTGTTGACAAGGGGGAAAATGAAAGAGTGAAATGAGAATTGACAAAAAAGAATTAGATTTTGATTAAGGTGGTCACTCAATTGCATTTCTACTATTTATTTTCTCAAGTTATCCTCATCATCATTGATAGATTATAATTTGATGCACACATTTTTTTTATATATGAAGAAATTATCTTGGTGGGGCGGGTATGGGGATGGGTATGGGGCGGGGGAGGCTAAAACCATACCCGCCCCATACCCATCAAACTTTTTGCGGGTTTTACCCATACCCGTCCCATACCAGGTCAATGCGGGGATTCCCCGCGTTGACTGGGTCGGAGGCGATCGGATACCCGCGGCGATGAGTTTGATTGCCATCCCCAATCCACAGCATAAATGGACTAATAATAATTTATTTTGTAAAAAATGTGCATGAGATAACCTAATTAGGCCGTCGGGCTCTTTTCGACCTGACTGATGATAGGACGATCGACTATTTACGTGGTTGAAAATTAAAGAGTGTCAACAATATATAAGACACTCGAGAGTCGAGAGAAAACTAATGGGTAAAAATAAAACGATTGTATATATGAAAAGCAGGTAAGTACAATTGTAGTTATCAAAGTCGTAATTTTAAAATACAATCATATAACCAATACATCAGTTTACTTTTCTTTTATTATAAATGAATGCAACGCATTCTAACTTTCATCCACAACAAGACGAGGATCAGAGAGACCTTGGCAGCTTACAAGGTGAAGTGAAACAAAACAGGATCAGAAACTTAAACTAGTTAAGTAATCAGCACTTCTTGGTAGATATGGGAGATAAAGACTTCCCAATTACGAGTAAGTAAATCCTAGAATCGATCAATGATGGCAATATGATGAATCCATCGAGACTCTGCAGGAGTTGGATCGAGCATTTGGAATCTAGTTCCATGCAGACCTGACGATAACCACTATCCCAACCAGCGGGTAGTTATCATAAATAGTCACAAACCTATTCACTTTGTACAAAACGGTCACAATCCTTTAATTTTGCACGTTTCAGTAATAAAAGTTTGAGCAAATAACAAAATAGTGAATCCGTCCAATTCCGTCCCTAATCGCCCCGTCAGCATGACACGTCGGTGTAAATAATAATAAAAAAAATGACTGATCAAACCCACATAACCAGACTATCCAACCGGCCAGATTAAATCCTACGCCGTCCACCGTCGTGGGGTCGTCTCCTTCTCTCCCCCTAGGGTTTCTCTTTCTACTCCATCTTCCGATCATCTGTTCATAATCAGTTCGCTTACATCGCCAGATTGTAGAGAGCCTTTTTGGTACGGACACGACGAGTGTATATCGGCTTATGAATCTGTAGGAAGGTTTCGTTTTCTCTTCAATGGCGACGACACCGGTGAAACCACAGCCGAAGTCGCTCCACAACTTCCCTGTCTTGCTGAAATGGGGCAAAACCGCCACGCTCGCCGCTCGAGGAAGCAACAGCTCTGGGCATCGTCCTGCTCCACCGCCTCTACCGAACGAGTCGGAATCGGATTCCGATCCTGATGCTTTCCGAAGACAGCACCGTCGGCCACCTCCTCCTTCTGATGGTGCTTTGCGGCTCCTCATTGGGTCGATCCCGAT